GCAATGGCTCCGGTGCTAGTAGCGTCCGGTATCATCATGGCCATTGAGACCAGCAATACTGCAATAGCACCGACAAGAATGTCGAGAACCAGAGTGAGCCAGCGCTGGATGCAAAACATCAGGTAGTACGGCCGTTGGGATTCATCCAAGAGTTCAAGTGAAGTTTCTCGGAAGACAGTTTGCCAGCCGAAGGCGCGGATGGTTGACAGGCCATCGATGGTCTCAATCAACTTGGTCAGAAGAGGAGCCTGCGCCTGAAGATCGAGGAATCGCATCTGGCGAGAAGTTCTGAGGTAGAAAGCCTGTAGGCAGTAGAGAGCGAGCAAGGCGAACGGGATGACAGCTGCAAGATATTTGGCACCAATGACAATCAGGACAGCTCCTGCCAAGCAATCAAGCACAGCTGAGAGGGATTAGCTACGTAGTCTCGCTGATACCCGAGACAAGCCACTTACCGATTGAGGTCATGAACAACGCTGTAGGAAGATCTCGGTCAATGTGAGACAAGTCCTGACTGAACCTGTAAAACATGTTAGGCATCTACAGCTTTAGAGATGATTCTGATATGATTACCTGTTGATCAAGTCGCCGGTGTCTGTCGATCCAAAGAACGACAGCGGGGCCCTGTAAAGTAGTAAGCAACGATGTGCACCACAGTTTGGCAAAGTGTGACCCGCCTCATGACAGACTGGAGAAGTGTCCAGTGCAAGCTTTGAGAAGACTTAGGCACGATCAGAACAAACATGATCCTGTAGGCTTCTGTTAGCAGAGCCGGGATTATCAGTCGTCAGGAATATGCTTTGGCAATGTACCAGATATTGACGCCAATAACAAACAAGCCCACGACAGAAATCGCAGAGTAGACTCCGAAGTAGAAGCCTGTATCTGATGAACCGGTCCTTGCGTCCTCCTCCGTCCAGATCTTGAGCCAAATTTCTATCAGAGGTCAGAAACCATAGTCGATACAATTATTTGAAGGGAACATGAACTTACGAGGGAAGACTCGGAAGAAGCAGTCAAGAATCAAGGATATCGCACCGGCGGAGCCATACCACCAACCGATGGACTTCAGGTAGTACCAGTATAGGGTAGTGTCACCCGCCTTTCTCAAGAGGTCCTGCTCTGATTTAGCCTCTACCCCTTTGGTTTGTGGTTGACTTTGCTGTCGAAATCCTGCGACTGAAATAGTCTCAGTGTCCCTTGCATCACTGGGCTGCGCATCCTCGAAAGAAAGGCTCTGAAGATAGGCGCTCTCCCGAATAGTGTCAAAATTGCCTTGGCTGGCAATACGTCCGTCATCGCCCAGGATGAGGATTTGATCCGCAAATTTGAGATATCTCACTGCAGACAGTATGAGTACAAAGCCTATCTTGTGAAATCTTGCTGGGGATATATGAGTTTCCACTTACGTGAGTGTGTTGTTAAGATCACGGTTGCCCCGTATTGGCGGACAAGTCCTCGTGGACTGAAAAGACAGTCCCAGATATGAGTCTGGGTTGCGTTGTCTAGCCCACTCAACGCATCGTCAACAACTAGAACAGACTTCCTAGAGAATACTGCTCGCGCCAGAGCCTGTCAAAGCCAGTGAGCGATTATGCACGATTGACAGCAAGATGAAGAATATTAACTTACAACCCGTTGCTTTTGACCTCCGCTCAGGGATTGGCCTTTGCTTCCAACCACTGTGTGATCTCCGTTTGCTAGCTGAGAGAAGTCGGGTACGAGAGCGCAAGCGTGCACCACCCTTTCGTACCAGTCCTCATCAGTCGGTGTCTCGCCGAGAATATTTTCCTTGACGGTTGCTGTCGTCAGCCAGGTTGTCTGAGCACAATACGCTACAGGACCATCAAGAGTCTTGACCGATCCGCTAGTCGGAAGTTCGCCGAGGAGTCCCCGAAGAAGGGTGGTCTTCCCCGAGCCAATTCTGCCAATCACGATAGTCATGGTGGAAGGGGCAATGTGGAGGTTGATATCGCGCAGAATGGGTTCCTCGTCAGCCTTGAGCCTGAACGAACCGTTTTGAACTGTCGCGATATCTCTCTGCTCGGAAGATGGCTCGGACGACGTTTTCGGCCGTATCGTACCCATCTCTATGCCATGATCAGTTCCGGCATGCCCAAGGTCGTCAGAGTGGCTTGCAGCTTCAAGATAATCAGGATCTGTGACCGTTGATGGCCTACTCTGTTCAAGGAAGGCTTGAATCCTCTCAAAACTTCCCAATGATGCCACTAAGCTCGGTACCGAGGTGATGAGCTGCGCAAGAGGCCCAGCAATCAAGTCGATGATGGTCAGAGAAGTGAAGACAGTGGCGATAGAGAGTGACAACCCGGCGTTGATCTTCTGCGCAAGGATGGCAAGGCCAAAAGTGACAACGGGACCGATCATTGATGGGGCGTTGCCTGGATATCGAGGTGTCAGCTTGTGATATAAAAAGATTAAGAACCTCAAGCTTACCGAGCATGTTCATATAAGTGATGAACCGGCGATACTGCTTTGCTCTGCGCAGCTCTGCCACTCTCAGGTCTTGAATCGCACGCTGAAGGAAGTCTACCATTCCCAGCATCTTCGTCTCCTTAATTGCACCAAGAACTTCCGAAGTGACTGTAATGCGCTTTTGGATTTCTTCGTTCCAAATCTTCGAGGCTCGAGGCATAAGTTTCGACAACCTCGCCATACCAATTGTGCAAGCTCAAGTCGATGTTAGATCAAAAGCATCATACTTCAGTTCGAAACAGTTGGTTACCGATAATGGTTACAGCCGGTCCAACGCTTCCAAGACCAAGCTGTCTTTGAAGTAGCCATATGGCAATGCCTATCTCGATGGGATTTGCCCACACCTCATGAATCGTTTCGAACGACCTGCAAATGGTTCTCACGTCGGTGCTGACCAAGGTCAATGGTGCAGACGGATCGCTGGCCTTCGCTGTGTCTAACTCGAGATTATTGGACATGATGAGGGAAACCAAAGATCCACGGATTATCGTGATATAACGGAAGAGCTTGTGCTGGTAGAAACCTGTCGACAACTAACACAAGACGAGCCGTATCAGCGGAGAGAACTACAACCGAGCAGCTTCACTGTAACCCACCGCATTGCCCAGGTAGACTAGGCCCGTCGCAGCTATCAAACCGTACCCAATAGATTTGGAATCAGATCCGCGGTCCCCATCGACGTATTTGATGATTCGGTTGATGAGAAACGGTTGCGAGAACTTAAATCCAATCAGGAAGAGTCTGGGTACCGCTGTTACCAAAAAAGCCATCTTCGTCGTGCTGAAGATCGAGCGTAATAGGGCCCGCTTCCCATGCCCTCTTCGTTCATTCCACGCGGTGTTGAGGTTCTGGAGCAGGGGCTCGGACCGCATATCATCATCTATGTCGTAGAGTGTCGACGGAGATAAGGTGGCCTTGAATCCTTTCCCTAGCAGGCTGTTGAGCCACCAAAAGAAACCGCGGCCGATGATGCCGCTCGTGGCCTCGGGGCTCAAGTGGCGCAGAGCAGCGAGGAGGAATGTGCGTTTGCCTTGCACTTCGAGAAGAAACATCGTCAACTTCATTGCCAGCGCAGCACAGGAGACGCTGGCCAAGTTGTGCAATCCGGGAAGCAGCCATAGTGTGCGGCATTGTACGGCGTCAAAGATGAGCGAGAACGCCAGGTAGACACAGATCGTGGTGGACGGTCGAATGGATCGGAGATGTTCTGCGTGGCTGAGGAGAGTGAGGGCCAAGGCGTCTAGAACGCCGAGGACTGCGGCAGCGACAGAGACGCGGTTGGAGAGCGGTGTTTGCGTCCATAGCGCGAGCAAGGCGATCTGAAGTCCGCCAAAGACGATGCAGGTGGCGATCTTGGCGACATTCAAGGGATGTCGTAGGACTTTGCGGCGTTGATGAAGAAGCTGCTGTAGCCGGAAAGGGAGGGCCAGAAGCAATACTGCAGACGGACCAATGTTCATGATAGATTGTTCGAAGAGTAGGGTGAAGTCAAATCGATCGCTGCATACGGTTGCATCGGGGCCAAAAGACCCCTCGCATTCGGCGATGGTCGTGAAGTTGTCCATAGCGGCTGCGACGATTGATGAAGTTGCAAGTCGACAGTTTAGGAACCTCTTGTTGGACGAACTCGCCTAGTGTTTTACTATGCGGTGCTGCCAATCAAGCCAAGGATCCCTTGATGCGCCTAGGCGGCAAGTTTGGGGTGCTATCGTAAGTTCACACGGAGTCAGGGTCCATTCTGCTTCAGGACGCGAGAAATCTTGCGAGTCGGGCTATGACTCGCAATCTGGCGCGACGATAGCGACAATGATGCTGCTAGTGCTTGAAGGGCATCAGGACTTCAAAGATTTGCTACCACAGCACGGTGCCACTAGCAACTGGATGAGCTCTGATCATCGAATGTCGGGTTGGTGACGAATTACACGTTGAATCATTCATCTTGGTAAGCCGTACGAGAGATTTCAAGCTTTTTCGGGCGGCTGAATGCGAGTCCCGAGATTGGGGGACGAATGTAAGAACGATCACCAAACAGGAAGGTCATCTGAACATGGAAATGAGTTGCAAATGCGCTAAGGATGTCACTTTGGAGCTCCAGGCGTTCGTGCCGAGATCCGGTTGAGTCTGGGGCTTAAGCTGCTGCCAGACAAGCCTGTGGAAACGCGGACGTGGGTACAAGCTGCGCGTATGGCTACGAGTTTTCTGGGATTGATGAACTTCAAGTGCTGAGGCCATCCTTGCCTGGACGTGATTGCGTCGAATCCAAAGTCTTCACGAATCACGGAGACGATGATGAGAGCCATAATCGCGGCACGATATTAAAGTGTCACCCACGAAGGCAGGCAATCAGTCCGGAGTAGCCCGTCGGGTCAGAAAGCTTGTCTGCCAGGCGACAATTACCGAGGTTTACATACTAAGCCAGGATACCTTAACCTTAAACAATCGAGCGAGCCTCTTAAATCTTCACCACCGCTACATGTAGACACGCTGCCGAAACTCTGGAAGCTCGTTTATCCATGCAATTTGATAATGTCTTCGGCTACCTTCTCGGCAGCAATAACAATTCCAGCTTGCGGGTTCGCAGTGAAAATCCCATTGAGTATTCCTGCGTCAACAATGTGCAGGTTTTTCGTTCCATAGACTTGCGCGTTGAGATCAACGACGGGTTTACCACCTTCCAGAGCAAAGTCGGTTCCAAGACGGGTGGTTCCAACCCAGTGATTGGCAGTACGGCCAATATCCCCAAACAACTACTCACACAATATGTTCAGCGTACTTACGTTCATATCGACTTCCGAGCGAAAAGTAAGATTGACTCACCTTTTGGACGTAGTCTCGCACGTCTTGACTAGGGGCGGGGTTGATATTGTAGCGCCTGGAATGGATGAAATTGCCTTGACAACTCCACTGACTGTGGTTACAACTGTCTCAAAGTCGCGATTCCCTTCGTCATTGAAGTAAGAAAGCACCCTGACGTTCATGATGAGGGATGAGTTGATTGTGGCGCGACCCCTCGAAGTCTTGCCGAGTCCAAGGGCAGCTGCCATGCCAGAGGTATCTGTGGCCATCCATAATGATCATCTGAGAACAGAAATATGACTACGCACTGTATGTCTTGCCTTTATGCGGCCCGCCAACATAGCTCGTCCATTGAAACCATCTTTCGATGCCATCCTCTCCTTTGACCGCATCCCAGAAAATGGGGTTGATGTCTGGGGCTGCTTGGGTCAGTATGCCTGATCGGTTGGCCGCAAGATTACTGTCAGTCAATAAAGTCAAACCATCTCGCATGGAGAGATCTGTTATCTCACATAGGTATGCTGCAGCGTCATCCGGACTGGGATTGTCGTAAGTGCTATTGAAGTCGTAGTTGGCTATGCCTGGGGGCTCGAAGAGAATGTTTTTCTGAGGAGGATTAACTTGATTATACTACGCTGAAGCAAGTATTACGTTCACATGGTCGTCGAGGTTGTGACCGACCGGAAGATCAATCCACTGGGCAGAGTCGATGAGTACGTCGCCTTCGGTTTTCTGGGCAGTCTCTAGCTGATCTTTCGGGCCAATCCCGCCTTTCGAGAGAGTTAGCAGTCATCTCGCCATTGGATTGAGAGGGGAACACTCAATCCGAAACAGAATCTTAGCTGAGCCAAATACTCCAGCAGAAAGAATGACTCGGTCACCAACAGCAAGTTTAACGGTACCATCGTAACCGCCCTCGCCAGCAGACTCTACTTGCACACCAGTGACGCTATCTCCCCTTCTCTCCACTCTAGTGACGAGTGTGATCGTCCAGAGCTTGACGTTACCGCGAGCTGCTACTGACACAAGATGGGTTTCCAAGAGCCCACCTCGCTCACCATGCTGGTAAAAGCACTCTGATTGGGAAACGGTTCTTCTCTTAGCATCTGGCTCATTGTTTGCCTTAACGCTGTTCCATCCGTTTTCGACGAGCCCCTTCATCATTAGGTCTCTGGCCTGACAGTTGTGTAAGACACCATCTTTGCAAGGGACATCAGTCCACGGAACACGCCTGAAGGCCCGGCCTGTGGCAGCAGACAGGTTCTTGGCCTTCCAGCCATCGGGAAACTGTGTATCTCAGTCCAAGCTTTGAAGGCTACGGAATGTTAGTAACGGCCAAAGAAGATTGAATAGGAAACAGAAAGGATGCACTAACCTTGAATCAACTGCCCACGTTGATAGCAGATCCACCCCCGAGAACACAGCCTGCCATGGGAACAACATCCAGACATTTGATGCCAGCGTTATCTTGCCATATGTGCCCGTAAAGCCTAGGAACGTCGAACCTTGTAAGATTGGAATTCTCAAGCCAGGCCCCTCTCCGCCCTACACACAACTGTCAGAGCTTGGTACCGTAGTTAGCCCAGCGATCTTTATTAACTTACTTCCGCCCTATCTGAAAGATGATGGAGGTCCTCTTTCGATTAGAAGCACACTCTTGCCACTAGCAGAAAGCTTATCAGCAGTGACTATTCCTCCCGGGCCACCATACATGCCGGCACTTAGCTCGTGAAGTTTGCAGGCATTCGTTCGAGTCAGTGTGCACCTTCGAGGCTGTAAATTGACGTGACATTGAAGATAGTCGATGCATTGCCCGCGGAGCCTTAAGGCTTGGCAAAACAGTTCATTGCGTCAATTTGTTGTTTCATCTTGGCAAAGACATTTAGAACAGGATTTCCTGCTGTCCATGTGAAAAGATCGGAATAGTCACCTCCTTAATTTCATACATGGCCAAAAGTTAGGCATTCCCGATGAATGCAGTAGCTGGGCGCTGTCTGGCAGGTCTAATGCCTCACTGCGTGGGAATAGTGTTGCTTAACGGGACTTAAATCCTGCGCTTTTGGCTCATGGGATGAATTATCATGTGAGATGAAATTCAAGGTATCTTGTAGCGTTTGATACTCAAGGACTGCGACATAGTATGTCTCCGAGATCCTGATAGAGACTAAGCACGGCCAAAGATCGAGATAGCCAACTTCATTCAGACATGGTAAGACCTATTAGGCAGCAATAAAAGTCTGTCGAAGTGGATTGAGTCCCAATCTCAAATACATCAAGCTCCAGTGATAAAGCCCACCCACTAGCACATGGGAATCGCCATTTGGAGACTGACCAATTTCCTTTTCAAACGCTCAACTTCGCCTTGTGGGAAGAAACAAAAGAAGGTCTACTCACATCGGCCTTACACTTTCCAATGGCATAAGATATGAGCCCTCCACTTATCTTGGTAACAAAAGGTTTGACTAACGACCAGGAGCAGCAAGACGTTGATGGTACAAGACCGAAAAGTTGTCAGACCCGTCAAAAACTTCAAAATGAAAGGGACGAGACTCGAACTCGCGCGGGTTGCCCCACCAGGAAACAGATGTTAAGCTGACCTTAACCTGGCGCCATAACCAACTCGGCCACCCTTCCGATTGTTGGATCTCCGCCTTGAAATTTGTGTATATGTTGCCAGTCGGCTTGCTAGGGATCCCCTCCTGTGTCCTTGCCATGCGTTGCGCTGACGAGTGCCTCATAATATTAGAGTTACTCTTCAGGTTCGTATTCCAATCCACTGGGGACATTTCGCCGCATACTCAGCAATCACTTACGTTCGGCGTAATCACACTCTCTGGCAGAGAGATGGATCGTAGAACAAGAACGCGTCTGCAGCGATCGACCCGCGACTTGATATCCTGCATACAAGCAAACTCCGATGCATTTTACCATTCCACGCACAAGTCCTCTCACAGCTGAAGTACCAGCCTTATGTCAGGGATAGGAGGAATGCTTTTGTTGGAAACTGAGAATATTCGTGATTCAGTTGAGCGCTGAAGATGTTTGCCTTGTCCAAAGCACCGTCGCACGGTCCAGCGCTACTAAGCCGCTTACCACAGCCCTATCATGGCCTGGATCACGCCGTCGAGCCCTGGAAATCCCCAGACTTGGCGCGATAGTCCCCGGAGAACTACAGCGTGACTTGTTTGTATTCGGATTCTGAGAAGAAGTGTTTGGGGGAAGAACGTCCCTCAACTAGGAGAGGATCAAAGAAAAAAATTTGACATTGACGTTGGAAATGAGGTTGAACACCGACATGGAAATCTCAAACCTTATTTGAACAAAGCGTGGAGGTGGCTTGAAGCTGAGCCGAAGAAAGCAACAGTGAAGAAGGTTTGAGACATCTGCTTGTCATCAGACGAAGCGCGCAGGCACGAGGCACCCAGCCGGCTGGATGACTGCATACATCGGCAGACGGCAACATCCATTCGATCACCGCAAGTGCGCTAATCTTTTCCATTTCTGCGGCACGTAATCTAGACTGAAGCCATTTTGTTACTTTTGATATCTGTTTCCGTTTTCAGTCAACACCTGATTACACTCGCACATCCCTGTAGCTCCGCTTAAAGGTAAGTCAAATTCTCGGAAATCTAGAGCGGCGTGAACGGCAGCACTAATTTTGTAGATCCGATCTTGGAGACGATAGCCATGCCATCTCCTCGGGCCGGCAGCATAGATCGGACAGATCCGGCCGAAGAGTTCATCTCGACTCTTTTTGGACGGGTGAAGTGACCAGCTCTGGTCCATGATGACCGGAAACGGATCATATGGAGTGCAGACTGGAGTAAAGCTAGAAGCCAAATTTCCGTATCGAAGATCCGCTTTAGAGAGCCTGGGAATGTTCCCATGACCGCCGCATGCATCCGCAAGCGATGGCCGCCCAAAAAGCACCAAAATCTCCAATTAGAGGCAGCCTCAAAAGTCGGGAGGTTTAAGTACCGTGTCATCCAGACTGAACTGTCGTCAATTCTATCAGCCCCCAACGCAGACCGCGGCTTTCTTTGTTGTAAGGTCCGTCAACATCAATACCTTGTCGTCTTGTGAAGAATGGTTAAAATCGCCATTGTTGGACTGCTGTCCTTGGCAGGGATCGCTGCAACGGCCACCTCTCCAGATCAGACCTGTGGAGGTTCCAACAGTTACACCTGTCCAGGATCTCAATGCTGCAGTCAATACAATTGGTGGTAAGGTTAACCTCGATGATGATAGACGAGACTGCGAAGAATTACCAAAGCTGACCTGGTACACTAGCGGAACAACTGACGCACACTGCGGAACAGGATGTCAATCCAAGTTCGGCAAATGCACCACTGGCTCTAGCAGCAGCGGGAGCGGCAGCACCGGCACTAACGGCAAGGTCAGCTCGGATGGCACCTGTGGCGGCACCGCGGGATACACCTGTAAGGGAAGCACTTTCGGAACCTGTTGCAGCCAGTGGGGATATTGCGGCAACACAGATGCCCATTGCCTCAACTCTTGCCAGTCAAAGTTTGGTGACTGCAGCTCCGTCACCAACGGTGGCAAGACGGTCAGCCAGGATGGAACCTGCGGTGGAACAGGTGGAAATACGTGTCGAGGTAGCAACTTCGGTGACTGCTGCAGTCAGTGGGGATATTGTGGCTCGTCTACCGATCACTGCAGCACCGGCTGCCAATCATCCTTTGGAACCTGCTCTGCGTCCTCAGGCGGAGGGGCTGCAGCCTCTTCTTCAGCAGCGCAGCCTGCATCCACTGGCGTCAAGACGAGTCCAGACAACACTTGTGGTGGCTCCAATGGTTATACATGCCCATCTGGGTTGTGTTGGTAAGTCATAGACAATACTTCTTCCTATACTCTTGCATTACTAGACCACTGACAAGTTATCTTAAAGCTCGAAGAATGGATACTGCAACACCGGCGACGACTTCTGTGGCTTTGGATGCCAGAAATCTTTTTCACTAGGGACGTGTTCAACCTGCCCTGGCTCAGCATGCGCAGGTACGGTGACCAGCAACCCAACTTGCTCCGCAAACAACGGCTACTGCTGGACATTGAGTTCGAAGAAGTTCCAGATCATTTGCGGAAGGCTTGCCTCCGGAGACTATCTTGGCTACGTCGATGCCACAAGCTTGGGTGATTGCATTTCGAAGTGTGCTGCAAACTCAGCGTGTGTCGCTGCTTCATTCTATCAGGGCAGTAGCACAAGCTGTAGTTTACTGAGCAGTTATCAAGGGTCTGCTTATGGCAACTCGGCAGGTGGTCAGCAGAACCATGCTTACGTCCGCGGTTCCAGCTGCGGGTGAAGGTGTGTTGCGAACGTGACAGGCGGCTTAACTACGGGTTACGATCACGGCAACGAAGGTTATTCCTGTGCCATACGGATTTCCCATTAGAAAACACCATAAGCCTATACACTTGATTCGATAACACCCCGTAACTGACTACTCAACTATGACGAAGGATGAATACCAGAGACGGGCCTTATCCGGCTAGCTGCAAAAATTGACTTTCAAGAGGCCATGTGTACTATTCAGGAACATGCAGCCTACGCGATCTTCGGATCCATAGCAAAAATTCGACTAGATTGTCGCGGCCCCAACAAGAAGCCAATACCCATGCTATTCTGTCTCGCAATTCTGTGGCTTCAAGTTCTGCGCCACAATCAAGCAATTGCTTCACAGCTGGGAGCGCAGGTCTGATGTGGTTATCGCTAACAGCGGCTAGTAGAGGTGTATGTCCCGCTTTCCCGCGGGCATCTACTTTAGCTCCCAACCTGACTAGATTCTTGATGACGTGAGGGATAACCTCGGAACGACACCCTTTGATTACATGTTCCAAGGCAGTTCCTCCTGTAATAATACCTTGTAAACCACACTTGGCGCCATGTTGAACAAGAACCTCAAGAACTTTTCTTTGACCAACTCTGCCCGCTAACATCAATGGTGTCTGTCTTTTGTGTGCCACCGAGTTGGTGTTCGGATCCTGTTGGAGAAGTACCTCAACGACGTCCAAGTAAGGTAGTCAGACTCGGCAGCAAAATGAAGCGCCGCCATACCATCGCGATCTTTTGGTTCCACATCAGCGCCTTTATCAAGAAGCTTTCGTACGCAGTCGAGATTTCCTGATTTAGAGGCCCAGTGAAGGGGTGTCCTCTGCATCTCGTCTTTCGACTCTATTGCGGCATCATGAGTCAGGAGTATTTCGACGCAGCCCCCGTGGCCCTACTCTACAGCCCAATGAAGAGGTGCCTTCTTTCCTTCATCTTCCATTACAAAATCTGCACCACTGCTAATTAGAGTTTCGAAAAATTTCCTATCAAGTATCTAGGCGCTGGTCGCGGCCATTATTTGACACCAAGGCCGAGATAGTTGGCTATTAGGTATGGATACGAGTCGTCTAGCTGGATAGGTTTTACGTATCACCTCGGTGGCGGGCTTAATCTATGATTCGAATAAAGCGACGTATCTACCACATAATATCCTCGGATAAGTTATACGGGTATATTTCTAGTTAGCGTTCCACTTTGGCTAATTTTAGAGAGAATGGAGCAGACGAGGTATTATACGACTAGGATGATGGAAGATCTGGAGTTTCATTACATATCAAGTGTACGAAGGAACGTAGAAAGCGCTGGATAGGAGACTTCCAGTAAGGAAAGCGTCCTCGCATGATGAATAGTGCAAATACTTCACAATAAGGGAAGTAGCTGTGCCATGACAGGGTCATTGACAAGCTTACATGTGCTGACAAGAGTGCTCAAGAACAGTGATCCGTAGGGAAGACCAAGAGCACACAAGTCCGATTCAACAGCATAATTATAGTGGGGAAACAAGACTGACTGCTACATGGCTGACTGTAAAGCCGTTACTTCCACGAATTTGGCTTTTTCCCAAGATGAAATACCCCTCACATGCTGCCCACTGTAGTTGCGCGACTTGCGGCAGCAGATTAAATCAGCGATACTCCGACTCCTGTTGCTTGACCAAAGTCTGTGTGGCCGTCTGAATCTTGTGGAACTGCCACGGTTTGATCTTTCTTTCAAAGAGCTCGTCCAGCTCGGCTGCGGATCGTCTGCAAAAGAGCTTGTATTAGCAAGTGGCTCTGCTGGCAAAATGTGTAGGATGGATTGTCTACCCAGCGGTATCGGGGATAAGGAACCAGATGCCAATCACGAAAGGCAGCCCAACGCCAGCATAGAACCAGCCTGTTTTGAGACCCCAGTTCCACTTATTGGCGTTGACCACTAGATCATATTGTCAGCACTTCTTCTATCGAGTACCCCTTCGTCTCGGAGTTAATCAACGTACTATAAGGCACTAGAACGTTCATGACGATACCAATGACACAGGTACACGCGGCACCGAAGCCGGCTGTGTGGGGGCGTAGCCGCTGCGACGAGATCTCGCCGATGAATCCCCAACCGGCCGCCCCGCTAGCCGTCATGCCAATATCTTCAAAAACAATCTTGTTAGCAGGCACGTGTACAATGATCATAAAGTCCGCCCATTTTTGATGAATTGTACGACGAAAACTTACTCCAAAAGCAGGCGAACAGCACGAATACATATGTCGACGCCCTGACCTGCTTTATCACGCCGATGATGCCGATGACTGCGCAAGAGACCCAGCACAGCGTGATGCCTCCGCACGCGATCCACCGTCTACCAAGCCAATCAGCCGTGAAAATAGTCACGATAATTGTGGCAATGTTGATCGACGATGTGATGACCTTGATAAGGAACGGGTCCTGTAGCCCCGCCTGCTGAAAGAAATATGTCCCAAAGGTCGCAAACAGTGTGAGGCCGATAAACTGTTGCGACAGGTTTGTCCAGAGGGAGATCAGCGTCCGCAGTCCGTCGGTGCCCCGGAATATCGCCGTCCACTTCTCGCGTTTCTGCTCCATCGCTACGGAACGCTCGTGCTCCACCGTCATCAGCAGCGTTGCGTACTGTCGGTCGAGATCGAAATCGGGAACGCCGCGATATAACCAGGCGAGACACTTCTTTGCGCGCGACTCATCGCCACGATTGACGCACCAAGCTGGGGATTCGGGCAGAAAGACGTATATGAGGATCATGAGGCCAATTTGCGCCCATTGCGTGTATATAGGGTTCAAGTAGTTGTATGGCTCGTTCTTGTTCAGGTTCTGTAGCGCGACGTGGGCGCAGAAGGTGCCAACGGTCCACCAGAAGGAGTAGCACATGAGCAGGCCGCCGCGGATCCGAACAGGTGCGACCTCGGCGATGTAGACGGGGAGGGTCGACTGTAGGCAGCCGACGCCGACGCCGGCAAGGAGCTTTGCCACGAGCCAGGCGGGCCAAGCGCGCGCGACGCTCTCAACGGCGACGCTGACGGCGAGGACAAGCCAGAGGGTATACATGGCAACCTTCCGGCCGAATCGAGAGGAGAGAAAGGGGATGGTGGTCATGCCAAGGACCTGGCCGACGGACATGATGGAGGACCAGCCCGAGAGGATGGGGGAGTCAAGGTAAGGTTTTCCAGAGGCGTCGGCAAGGGTCGCGAATTGGTGGACAAAGCCCTTATTTGCTACGATGCTGGCGTTCAAGCTGGATGTGGGTGGCGTGACGGGGTTAGCAATGTAAACTAGAGATTGGGGCACAATGGATGCGCGAGGAGGAGCAAAGTGTGAAGCGTACCCGATTTGATAGCCATCAGTGGCGGCGCTGAAGGCCGCCGCGAAGCACGCAGCTGAGGCGATCTTGAAGAGCTTGACCGTCTCCCATATGGATAGAGACTCGTATCCCGAAATGTTTTGGCCGCGGGTTGCCGCGTCGACAGCTGCGTCGCTGAATTTCAGGCCATCATCCGCCGGGTCTTCAACGTAGGCCACGTTGTCGACCGGCTTCTTGGGAGTTCCACGTGGAGATTCCATTACTGCACAGGATAAAGGGCAAAACCAGAAAAGAGTATGGCTACTAACTTTTTGGTATGATGATTGCTATTCTATTTCGGAATCTGGCTTGGTTTTTATCTTGATACATCGGCACGTGTTGTCACGAAACGAATCGATTTTCATCGAGACGGTGGTGGTCTAGACCTATCGGAACAGTCTGCAAACAACGTCTTGTGTCCAGCTCACCAAAGACCTTCGTATACAATAATGTGATGGACTTGCCCGAAGAATGGACACTTCTGTCCGCTGCCAGGGACATTTGCTCGCATTCGTATTGTGGGTCCGCTGCTCGTTGTCTATTTTCCCAAGCCTTCTCATGACGAACGATCCGGGGTATGGGACCCCGCGAGGACCCCACGGGGATAATCTAGGTTACTTTGGTGGGGGGGGGGGGGGAACTTACCCAAGATGGGCGTTCCGAGGCTTCGGACTATAAACAAGTACGGAGGATACCGAAGCTATCGCTAATTAGTACCTGGGACAAGCACGCATAATCCTTTTTGAATTGGGACGTTGACACGATTGATGTCAAGCTTGGAGACTGTTCGTATCTTCCGTATGCCGTACACAGGGCTTTCCCATTGGGCTGCCGTCATCTACGCTTTACTATGCAGTAACGACCTCCGATGCAATGCGACGTGGTGGTTGGGGCTAGTAAACGTCTATATCTCTCATTGGACGAGAGTACGAAAAAATGTACGAAAATTCTCCAAAAGATGGACCGGAATTGGGTGACTGTTGGGTGCTTTGAGGAAAGACTACCCGAGTAACCGGGAATGGCATCATGGTCATTGATGAGGATGCAAGGACTAGGACACTGGATGACATAGGTCGAACTGAAGTTGTCAAGTTTACGAGAGGGGGATGGCGAAGACATTTCCTCTTGAAATTTTGAGAGTGTGTTGATAGTGTCTACATGTGCCCTCAAGTACTCGCACATCAGGTAAGGAGAAGGAAGATCAGATTTCTGAAAGGTGCAATTGATTTGACTAATCAGAACAATGGTGTCATTTGAAAGTCGACTTGCAAGAGAAGACGTAATTTAAGGTACTTGATAAACCCGCCATCCCAAAGTACATGTCACCTCTTGCACAACATACTCCATAATCAAGTACCGTTAGCAGGCTGCTTATACTCAACACCATCGATGGTGGTGACCAAAGTCCCACTCGCGTTGAATAAGTTCAGCTCCGCGTCAATAATCAAGTGAAAACCTCCCTCGCTAGTCTTCTTAGTCCCATTGACCACCCCAGTCTGAACAATATCAGAAACCCAGTCAACCTGATTCGTCCAGAAGTTGGGGAGAAGAATCTTCACCGTGACGTCCTCAAAGCCATTCAGGATGTGCTCCCCATCATCCGAGTAGTTGGTGTAGTTCACTGCAACGCTGCCCAGCCCGCTCACATTAGTAGAGTCCGGGGCAATGCTTACACCAGCAATACCAGAAACCTTCCCACGGAGTGTATAGTTGCCTGGCTCGACCGTAAACGGCGACTCCGGGATAGCTGTGCCCGGAGGAAATGGCGTGGCCCAAGGGATCACGTCCGGAATCTTGTAAATTGGCGCCGGCGCGGTAGCCTCGCGACCAATCCGTTGAGCCAACATCACGCGATACTCCCTGCCTCCTTGGGCCGTAGACTCGGGGCAAGGAAGGGGATTCGCGCCACCACATGAAGGGGAGACCACGAGAGCCTGCCAGTACGTAATCTTTGTTCCGTCCAAGGAGAAGGCCGGGTCCGCTCTGCCATTCCAGTTCGGATCGTTGATGGCACCGCCGCTCTCGACCCCCGCAGCATTGATCCGCTGACCATAATAGTCGCCGCGATCGCCGTAGCGATCGATTAAGATTGTCTGGAAGAAGCGACGGGGGCCGTTGTTGCGAGTGGAGGCGGCCACAGTCACAGCAACGAGGTCGATCAGGGGCGGGATCCCACGCATGCCAGACATCCACATCTGGCGGTTCGTACCTCGCGTGTCCATGGCAACGAACCAGTCGTTATCGGCAGAGAAGGCCATGGGATCC